TGGATAGATAGTATGGCGTATGCAATGATACCTTTATTTCAGCTCTAATTTATTACTAATCTCCTGGATATTATAAAGAAATATTTATAAGTGATATCTGTTTAAATAAGTAAGGTAATATCATTGAATTGATCATCCATTTCTAAGTACCAGCATATAATTAGTATCATTCCATTGATCTGTTTCAATTATAGAAACGATTCTATCACGTGCGAGAATTACCTGGCATTAACATAGGTCCACCTATTTTGTGTCTTGCCTTTATCTTGCCTCCATCTAGTTGTTTTGCATAATGAAATTCCAATTGAATTGATATAGCAATGGTGGTTGTTTTATTTCCTTGATTCTAATCGCTGTAGCGATGACTAGATTAATTTTATATTTCTACAGACATAAAAAAATTGGTAATTTACAAATTACAATGATAAAATATACATAAAATATCTCATTATCACCAGGTATAATTTAAGGCTGGTTGTACATGTTTATCAGAGCTACAGTAATTTTCAACGGTAAAAATGATTGATAAATAAGATGATCTAGACTACAGTGGATTTAAAATATATTATATTAGTTTGTTGTTTTATTTTTGCTCATTATAATGCAGTATTGCCAAGCAGTCATATTATTTATCGTCTATCTCATCATGGCAGTTTAGGCATGACATTACTCAGCTCTTGTTTGTTACCAATGGTAGAATTTAAAAGAGGTTCTGGAAAGAACTGATACCCCGACATTGAAGCCCACGATGATATTTACATTTCAATAGGCTTTTATTCTAATCTTAAGACTATGGTCTAATGTGATTATAATTACTTTACGTGCATTGCACCGTAGGTTAATGTAAATAGATTAACGACAATAGGGAATTTAGTATATTGGGCAAGTCTGATTTCAACCTTGAGTACGTATTTGAAGTAGAAGAAGTTTCACATTGATGTATATGGCGAGTAAAGTGAGTAGGTGAACCTTGAAATTCATGATCAATGACTTTCAAAGGCTGCATTAGAAATTAGATGACGCGTACTGATAGCTTTAATTTCTGAACGAGAATTGGTAATTGGATCCACGGTTTCAGAGTCTTTATAGAAAAAATTTAGTTTTCTCCCTACCTATTCTCTCTACTCATGGTAATATAGACACCTAATTGCTGATAATTATAATAATCATGCCAACGAAATGAACAATTCCTATTATAACTTTTAGCCAATGTAATTTCCTTTCATGGAATAGGAATGATATTGACATTAAGACGCTCTCAGTATTCTATTTTTATCAAATATTGTAAAACAGATGTTATTAGTTAACTTTATACATTTACATTTTACACTTTCACGAAAAATGCGCATGGAGACTGTAGTTACACATGATGGCGCCTTCCGATATATTTCTGTCGATAAAATTTGGCGAATGGAAAAGTATTTGCTGCAAACCTTATGGTCCTATTTATTATTATACCCTGTATATCAGTCAAGAATTCTAACCGATTTTAAGTCATCGAATTAAGAGAAAAGTGAATTCGATGGTTCGAGCAGATATCAATGGAGACAGTCGATATTTCAGTTATTATATTTTTTTTTTTACGGCCAAGGAAGATAAAATATCAATATCGCACTGTCACGGTACGAACCACCGTGGAGAGTAAATGACTAAATTTAGTGGTTAACATTTATATATGGAGATAACTAATAATGACTTGCAGTAAGAACTACGGTAGTTATTATTTTGTTACAGTAAATTGTCCTGTACTTTAGTAAGAGTTCTTAGACGGTAATAATGTTAATTGATTGTAGTGTTATGTTTTGTAACGTTTGTGATGAATGTCCTGAAGATATTCAATTATACAGTAGATGATACTATAAATAATTCTGTGTATGGACATAGTGTAATCTAGTTGCTGTATCTAGAATCGTTCAGTACTGTACAGTACATCCAAGATTATGAATAATTTCTGTACTAATTTAGCTATCCAATATAAACTAAATTTCTTGAACTGTTATGAATCATACATTATAGCAGCTGCCGAAGGGTATTTTAGCTCGGCAGATAGTTGAATAAAAGAAGAGTTCTATAGTTGTTTAACGTAGAAGCAAAGGCGTCTAAATTTTCGTGAGATAGTTAACTAATCGAAGTCTCCGATTGTCGAGCAGATCAATGTACAGCATATTAAAATTCAAAAACAAGAGAAAATTCTTCTATTTTTGCAGTTATTGATTATACCAATGACAAGCGCAGTCTGTTGTTTAAAAGGAGAAAGTAATAGCGTATAGAAACAAGTCAAGATAATTGATCATGGCTAATCAAGCTGCAGTTAATTCTGTGGAGTAGCAGCAAGAGCGTGCACTGTGTGTTTTGGGTAATGTTGATAATATGCGTTGAGCTGGACGAATATTTACAATTCACATCCCCGTAAAACCAAGGTTTTCCTCTGAAGCATAAAGTTACTAAGACGTTTGTAGATCACATTTAGCCGCTGATATATAATAACATAAGCAACCGAAAGTGATCCTGAAGCACGCGAGCAACCTCTCTGCCCGAAATAGCCGTTGGACAATGTAATATGTCACCCAAAAATTACTTATAGACTACTAATACTAAATCAAGTACAGTAGTAGAATTGAATCCTCTTAGTGAGACTATCTGTCTAAAGTGCTGTAGAGGAGATTCTTAGGCAGGTGCATAGAGGGTAGATAAAGTTTTTTCTCTCATTTAAGGTTCAGTCTTTTTAGCATGGAGGAAAGTAAGTCCTAGATGAGTCAGTTTACGTGTATAGGCTCATCCTATCTATGCTGAATATCAGAATAGTACAGTATTAGACATACTTATTATTACATTCTTTTTGCAGAATTTATTACGTTAGTCAAGCAATGCGATCCAAGTTCCATTCTTTATTTCATCCTCACCCTATCCTTAACACAGATGCAGGAACCCTTCATTTAGACTTTTTTGTATCCCGCTTCCGAAAAACCTGCACAGATATCACTTTGAACTATTTCATGACGACTACTTTCGTCCCCAGTCCATCACGGTTCTACTGTATCTGCTTATTTACACTACCGCTACAATATCATTGCATGATCATAATGGAGTGCTGTACCATGGACTACGAGATGCATCGTCATTTAGTAGTCCATGGCTGTCCTTTTATGCAGTAGCGCAGTATTTGTGTCTTATGTATAGGTTTGACAGATCCTTTTCTTTCCTCTTGTTCAGTCCTTCATAATCACTGACCATAGGTCAAGTGTACTGCATACAGTGTACAGTAGAGACTGTACTGTGCGCACAATTAAACCTTCAATTAAAATGTATGAAAATTTAGTAGCCATTTTAGTCGGAATACACCTAGAAATTCCCAACAACTTTCCATCCACCCTTGTCTAACGTTAGCCTCTTCAACATAAAAGTCTCCGCTGTTATGTCACTAGAAGAAGGCCTTGACTGATCACTCCCTCAGACAGACGGACATTTCTGACCAAATGAGGCCGTCAATATCGAAAAATGGTGACTTAGTATGGAGCTTCCGTATCGAAATCATTGGCACTAATTTAATTACTAAAATAGCATCGACGATCTGTTTCCAAGCAGCACTTAGTTACAGATAATAAAATTCAATATAATATTATTAGTGGAAAAAATTAATCCATTCCAATTGGATCGTTTCTATACTAAACTGCTGTTCTAACGAGGTATTTGGAACAGTATTTGGACAAGTTGAGGCCAACAGTATCTGTCCGTCCAAGAGTGATCTGTCTAGGTCTTCTTTTGAGGAAAACTTTTCCCTCATTTTTTGAATCCCTGTGTACAGTACTGTACTGTACAGTACTGTAGAAAACCGTTGACAGATCTGTACTGTACTGTACAGTACACTTGTACAGTACTGTAGTCCTCAGTCAATGCATTACTGACTGAGACTCAAATTACCGTACAGTATTAGTTTTAATTTGTGGATGACTACGCATGTCCACGGTGACGTCACAACAGTTTACTTTTAGTTCGTCACTCACACCGGTGCATCTGTGTCGCATACTGCGTATTCTAATTCAAATAAATTAAATTAAAGGACTAGTATGTCGAAATTAAAGGAATAGTATGTCGTAATTCAAGGACTAGTATATCGTAATGAAAGGACTAGTATGTCGTAATGAAAGGACTAGTATGTTATTCGTGCTGTGTGACGGAGATCGTTTTTTTTCGAAAATGCTACAGTGTACAATGCAGTATACTGTTCTGTACTGTACACTGTACACTGTACCACGGTTTTTCTTTCACCCTACAGTCCAAACCTGGAGTGGCTACAGTACAGTACTACAGGCAATACGGATAGTATTGTAGACTCGACGGGCGATATGACACGTCTCAGCTCAGCTGCTAAGTAAAACACCAAGACCATTCATCGCCCTCTCGTCATTGACAATCGTTTGTGGATCAAGACACTTAAAGGGAGAAAATTCGCTCTATCCTTGTTGATATCTTGGATCCATTGGCAGCATTTACTGCTGTATGCTGTAAAATTCAGCGTTCAAAGGAAGAAAAGGATTGATTTATAGTGTAGAATAGTAGAGGATTTACTTACTGCATTGGTATTGGTGGAGACGAATAGATAGACAAGTTGGTGGATGCTAGTTAATCGAATCATGTCTCGACGATAGATTGATGATCTTGGATCGTCTTGGCTAACTCTTTTTCTGCTTTATTCAATCGATACTCCAATTTGTCGTTATTTCCTCTCTTGCATTAGCTAGAGATAGTGTTCTTTGTCTTAATCTAGACCAATCGAGTGCATAATACTGTAGTATTGATCTGTAATATGATGGCAACAAAGTTAGTATCCAAAGATGCTGCAACACTTCCACCTGGTGAAGTCATTGCCAAGCTGGAAACCGACATTGATTTGGGTTTAAATCATGTCCAAGTAGATAAAAGGCGAGCAATATTTGGTAGTAATGAATTTGATGTTGAACCTGATGCTCCATTATGGAAGAAATTTTTAGAACAGGTCAGTACTCTATCTTGCAAAATACACCTTATTCATGCTGCAGTCGATTCAATGACGACTTGTTAGTCAGACATTGATCAAGCTAGACGTAGTCAATTGTTCTATGGCTAGCATCAATTATCCTCCAATAAATTTGGGATTGCAGTCTTAAATGGTGATCAAGGATCATACAACTCTATTCCTCATCCACTGATATTTCATTTCTTTGATATTATAAAAATAAGAATAATTCCTTTTTTTTTTCCAGTTTAATAATCATTTTATCCTCTTGCTACTTGGCTCGGCTGTGGTCAGCGTTTTCATGAAACAGTACGACGATTGTATCAGCATTACAATGGTTAGTTCGGCTTCAATTGGAGATTCTATTTGCCTTTTCAGTTATTGCGAAGATTTATGACTGTGAACAGGCATCAGATGTCACTAAGAGATTTTGATGGACATCGCTTATTTCTATTGAAGGATAGATATGACTAGATTAGAGCTTTATTTGATGTCGGATTTGCCGTACTCTTTCAGTCTTTATGCAAACAAGCACGACTTTAAAACAAAGCATATCCTACCTCATTACAACATGCTGTAATATCAAAGAGTTAGCATATGACAAAATCGAACCAGTTGTAGCATCGTAAATTATTTATTCAATTAATTTTGTTCCAATAACTTTTGATATTATTTTCTCTCAATTTTAGGCCACAATCCTTGTTGCAACGGTTGGCTTTGTACAGGTAGAAGAATAGTTCTCAAAAATAAAATTACAAACGTATGATAGATAGTATCGATTCCTTCTTTGCTACAAGATAACAATTTATTTTTACCTAATAGTTTACATTGCAATTGCAGATTTAATGTATACTGTATCGATTTTAAAGATAAATTTATAAAATCTACTTTCATGATAGTTACTTAGTGAAAACTTTATAAGTTAACTGTAGTACTCGTACGAATAATAGTTTGCCAACTGTACTGCATGTATCGATGTAAATTTGAAGTTGATATGCGTAGTTACATCTTTAGTACTATATAGTTATTACTGGATATCCATCATAACATCCAGCATTGTAATGAACTAATTTTGCATATTAGTCTATATATTCAATATTTTTCTGTACTAAAAAGAACCAGCGCGCATTAGGATCAATTTAAGTACTCGAATAATAATAGTAATCCTAATTGAATCTATTCTGGTTTGACGATAACCGATGATTTACTAAACTTTTGTTTGCATCTGTCGTACACATACCTATTGTTGGATTCAGTTTTGTTTCAAGACCTAGCAGCTTTCATGATATAGCTGCATAACTTACATTTATTCACAAATATTTATACATTATAATGAAAAGCTATATACAGTACAGTATCATTTCTACTGTACTACTCTAATTCAAAATGCCTACTAATAAATTTGACATTCAATGGATTGTTAACAGGAGTATCGCTCAGAGAAATCACTGCAACAATTAAGTAAATTAGTACCCCCAACATGTCATTGGTAAGATTAATGATTTTATGACATTCAGTTTTTGTTTTAAATTTGTAAATCATATTTACTACAATTGAATTGCACCGGATTAGATAGAATTTCTTTAAATCTAGCTTATCTAGTAAAAGATGAAATTCTATAATTAAGGATATCGTTGCTGAAAAATGATTAGCCTTTATTGTAATTAAATTTTAATTCGTTATTTTGCCGTGACAGCAAGAGAGATGGAAAACTATTCAATACTTTAGCCAAAAATTTAGTACCAGGTGATGTAGTAGAAATTGCGACTGGTGATCGAGTACCAGCAGACATTAGATTAATTGAGGTAAGTTAGCTATTTTTTATAAATGTTTTTATTGGAGTAAGCTACTGTAGCTTAGTAAAATCTGAACAATCATTCGATGACAGAGGATCACCAACAGCTGCTGCCTCTATTGTTTCGCTTATTATTATAGGCTATAGACCTTGAACTTGACGAATCTAGTTTTACTGGAGAGACGGAGTCTTGTAGTAAAAATGTCCAAGAAATTTCTTCACAGGTGCCGTTCGATGTTGCCCGCTGTAGTAATATCGCCTTTATGGGGACGTTAGTTCGATCCGGACGTGGGATTGTAAGTACTTACAATGATCTACTTGCGCAAGATCATGGCCACTTAGAATTAGTTACTCTCTCTCATATTTCAAGCTCTATCTACTGTTGATTGATTTTATTATAAAGGAATAAGTTTACATATCTTCCTATAATTATTTCAAGTAGCTGTAAAGCATTGAGAATGTACCTCTTTCGGTATAGTTTCGTTTTATTTCTAAAAAAAGCATTTTCGTGGTTAACAAGGTGTTCTGTAGTTACATAAACGATATAAAAAATATTCATATTTCACCCAGTCCTTCTATATTAAATTTATATTCTATCGTTTTATTCATGGCTTAAAATTGTAATTACCATCGTATTATGGTAGGGAGTTGTTATTGCTACTGGCGGTGATTCGGAATTCGGTGAAATTTTTAAATTAATGAAAAAAGAAGAGGTTAAGATTAAATCATCGATTACCTAAAGAACTTAATTATAAAAATATCTTTACAATTTAATTACAACTCGTGAAACTTGCTCACATTTAATTTAGTCCCCAAAGACACCTCTTCAAAAAAGCATGGACAAACTGGGAAAACAGTTATCCATGTATTCTCTTGGTATCATAGGTATGACTATGCGAAAATCGGAGTAATTACTAACGGATAGTATGCGTTGCCCTGCCTTGCCTGAGCTTCATTATGATGATTTCATTACTATTTTTGATGGACCCAGTTTTAGTTTCGTAGTAAGATAGAAAATAGTTGCCTTACCGTATATGTCAATACCAACATATGCCTTCATAAAATCATTAGCAAATAGAAAGTGTGATTATCTATGGTGAGTTGGTGACTACGTTTGATTGAGTAATAATTGCGTAAGATTTATTAATGTATATTATCTTATAGCTCTAATCATGGTACTTGGGGTCATTCAAAAGCGAGGCTGGTTGGACATGTTTACGATCGGTGTTAGGTAATACATTTACGTATGTTGTAGATAGTGCGTTAGGTTAATTTAAATTATCTAATTTAATTAATACAATTTTAATGGTGGTTACAGTTGTTATTTATTATTTTATGATTGTGTTATTGGTTAAAATTTAATTTAAAGACCTTACTATCGTATCATTGTATAATCATTTCGTACTACCCTGAATTATGTAGTCTAGCCGTTGCTGCAATACCGGAAGGCCTACCTGTGGTTGTCACAGTAACGCTAGCGTTAGGAGTAATGAGAATGGCTCGGAGGCGTGCTATTGTAAAGAGATTACCGACGGTGGAAACTTTAGGTGGTTATGAATGATAATGACAAAAGAATGGATTGCGATGACTGCACTTTCTAATCATCAAATCAAATTGTTTTATGCCCGTAGGTTGTGCTACTGTTGTATGCTCTGATAAAACTGGCACACTTACTAAGAATGAGATGACGGTAGGAATTATGCAAACAGCTTCCGGTGAACATGCTGATGTAAGCTTTAAAATGTACACGTATATAATATAAAATAGCCAGATGGATTTCTGTACATGATAATAGACTATAAAGTTTTGATACCGCTTTGTAGGTAACTGGTTCAGGATATCATGATAAAGGGCGAGTAGTATACAATGATAAACCAATTCTTGGCTACACGTATCCATTATTCGCTAAAATTGCGGAGGTAACAATATCCTATTACAAATTGAATTGGGGAAATTTCAATTTAGCGATATTACCTTGCATTTATGTCTTATTGATGAAATCTTAGATTGGCATAGTTAGCAACAATTCTTACATTGTCAACGGAAGATTGATAGGGCAACCGACCGAAGGTGCTTTGCTTGTAGCGGCAATGAAGGTATAATCTTATTTTGACTTTGTTACTGTCCCTAAATGGTCTGCCTATAAAATGGTTACTATTGAAAATTTCATTCAATTTAAAATAATTTGATTTAATAGCTGGACATCGCTGACATGCGTGAATATTATGAAAAAATTGAGGAGAAACCATTTAATTCAATAAGAAAATGGAGTTATGTTCGTTGCTCTTACAAAGATAAGCACCCCGACTATTCGGAGGTAAATTCTCTACTATAAGATGGTTCGCGAAAGTTTGCTCATATTAAGCAAGTATTTATGATGAAAGTAAATCAGTAATGGAAGTCATGATTAAATTTTAGGATAAGCAAGAGTTATATTTCATGAAAGGTGCAGTCGAACAAGTACTAGAACAATGCGCATACTATTATACTTTTGATATGCAAGTTGCTCCCTTGACAGAAGCTGATATTCAACGGCAGATGCAATATTCGTACAACCTTGGGCGACAAGGATTACGAGGTAGTACTACATTAACGTAACGAGTACTATCTACTTAATTATAATATACTTTATTATACTGAAGTTTCGATATTATTGAATTGGAATTGTGGTCTTTTCTCCATTTCAGTTATCGCAATGGCTATTGGAAATAAGTTAGGAGCACTTACATTTGCGGGCATAATGGGACTAGTTGATCCTCCTCGACCTGCAGCTCGCGATGCGGTTCAAAAGTTAATTGATAGTGGTGTTTCAGTAAAGATGATTACTGGCGATTCTCGTGAAACCGCTGTTGCAATTGGTATTCATTCTAGTTTAATACATTTACGAGTTTGTATCATTTCACCACAGATGAACGTGCATTTTTGTAAATCAAAGGAATACTTTCATAGCTCAGTCCGTAGGTATACGTGCACACGAAAGTAGAGCTCTATCTGGTGAACAAATTGAAAGAATGGCGCCATCGGAGCTTCAAAAGATTATTAGAGAGGTAGGTATTATAGACAATAGTAGAAATTACTAATGGCGTACATAAAACGTAAAACAATGATCAACAGTCAATTATGCAGTCGTCAACAAATTTAAAAATTTTAACTATATAATTAACCCAAATTGCTAACAATGACGTATTTATACTCCAGATTTCGGTTATATACCGTGCAAATCCTAAGCACAAATTGACTATCATAAAGGTAAGTGTCACCGTATATGAGAGCCTTTGTAATCTTTCGGTGATAAAATTGAAAGTTTTTCTTATTTGTATCTTTTGATGACCTTAAATGAGTGTTTGTGTGCAAGTGGGTTCAATTATAAGGCGTTAATGTTGAAAACCTTTATACTTCATTGTTAATGATAGTTTACAGCTTTGAACTTCTGAGCACCTTCTGTTATTATTCCAAACTGTTATTGGAATCTGTAAAAAAGGAGACTAAAAAGCTCTATCTGTTTTCCAAATGTCTCGTATAATATTTTATACCTGTGTTTTTAATCAGGGTTTGCAAATGTGTGGAGAGGTTGTTGCTATGACAGGTGATGGTGTAAATGACGCAGTTGCTTTGAAACGAGCTGATATTGGTGTAGCAATGGGAAAGATTGGTACAGATGTATCAAAAGAAGCGTCCGATATGATTGTCTTAGATGATGATTTTTATACTATTATGTGAGTTTATTTTGACTGACAGAATAAATGTTCGGTAGTAATTTGTCAATGGAATTTTTGTTAATTAATTAATATTTTGGTGATATATAGGTCTGCAGTAGAAGAGGGGAAATGTATATTTTATAATATAAAGAATTTTGTTCGATTTCAATTAAGCACGTAAGTATCGAAACTACTCATAAATATAAATAGAAGACATATACATTTAATTATTTGCCTATATATTAACTGAGAAATTTTTCATTGTAATAAATTATGAAATACTACAGGAGCATATCAGCCCTATCGCTTATCACTCTAGCGACGGTGTTTAGATTACCAAACCCTTTAAATGCTATGCAAATTTTATGGATAAATATTATTATGGATGGCCCACCTGCTCAAAGGTAGTAAAATGGTTATCACACGTACAATTGTCGTAAAGGATAGACTATTACAGCAGCTGTGATAGATTGTTATATCTGCCTTTGTAAAATTACTGCACAAAATTTTCTTTGAGAATAAGTTTGATCATCTTATTTTAGCTTAGGTGTAGAGCCCGTTGATAAAGATGTTATGAGAAAGCCTCCGCGAAATGTTAATGATTCCATGATTACCAAAAATCTTATTTTTAGTGTATTAATTTCCGCTTTTCTGATTGTGCTTGGGACATTTTTTATTTTTTGGCGTGAGGTATTAAGGCAATTAAAGGCTCTTAAGAATAGTGTATGGCCTTTTATTAACTTTAGATTTTATGTTGTGAAAATTATAAATGTAGATGAGTGATGGCAAGGTTACTCCGAGAGATACAACTATGACATTTACTTGCTTTGTATTCTTCGATATGTTCAACGCCCTGTCTTGTAGATCACAGGTGAGTATTCCATATGATAGAATCTTTTATTATCGAAGCTTTTTACTGCTGTATCCATGTATGTGTAAGTCTTTATGTACTGACCTAAACGTTATTTACAGACGAAGTCAGTGGTAAATGTGGGTCTATTTTCCAATCGAATGTTTCTTTATGCTGTTGTTGGTTCGGTACTTGGCCAACTAGCAGTCATATATTTTTCTCCATTACAAGCTATTTTTCAAACTGAAGCCCTCTATTTAACGGATTTGGTGCTCCTTACTAGCTTGGCTTCAACAGTTCTAATAGTTGACGAAATAAGAAAATATTTTCTGAGACGTCGGCAACGAAGCTCGCCAACAGTGTACAGTCTTATTTAATTGTAAGTTTACTATTAAATATAGCCATCATTTTCAATTTATTCCTTATAATTTAATGTTGACGTTAGCCAATTAAAAATGCAGTGATGGACTAACTTTAAATATTAAATTTAATCAATTTAATGCTATAAAATACCCCCTGATCAAAAATTAAAAAGTAAAATTATTTTAAACTGTCATACATTGTACTGATGTTTATAATTGCTGTAGGTTGTGACTTGAGGAAAACTTATCTGATAATGGTGGCATTGTACGTTAGCATTGTTGATAGGAGATTTTGCAAATTATCTAAAAGATTATGTAAAATATTTTCTGATTTCTCATTTGATAATGACAAAGCCGTAGCCTTCTTAATTAATGATAAAACTTTTACTTTGAAACTATTATAATATTGTTTACGTGTATTTCAGTATTGAATCAGTTTAATAATGACTTACGAAACTACAATCAGTATATTACGCTGTACGTGCTCTTAAAATACAGCTAACTGGTATCTGTATCAGAATCATAAGCTACCAAGGCGTGGACTAATTAATTTACACTATTTTATTCGCATTTGTTGCCGCTTGATTGTAAACATTACGACGTTTCTTTGAATGAATAACATTTCAAATATTTATGTATTTAGTATTTTATTCTTCGATGTAGACTATTTTCTAGACATCTTTAAAAACATTACCTATTTAAAGTAACATACTTTAGAAAATATATATACGTATTGTAATATATAGTTACATATGTAAAAAACATCGGTATTAAAAAGTGGTCTAAATATTTGTTGTCGCACTGAATTAATTGATATGGCTTTGCAATGAAAGATTGCACCATGGCGATATAAGAAAGCTTTTTCTTCTACTTCTATAGATTGTACTGAATTAGCAAAGCACAGTAGGACGCTCTAAACTGGTTAACAAGTTGAAACCTGATTATTGATGATACAATTAGTACCGATCGCTAAAGCGAGACCCCAAATCGATGACGCAGTTAGTAAGAATTTAAAAGCTTTTATTAAGGAAACTCCAAAGATTTAAAACGTTGAATCAAAATGCGACCGATTATTCATGAAATTGTTAACAGTAACTGAGAACTAACGTAAAAATTTTTTAGTCTTAAAGACTAATTAAAATATAATTAGATTAATAACAGTAATTAAGGTTAGCGGAAAATACACCGGGATTGGATTAAAATAATATTAAAGTAACGGAAATTAAAAAAATCAGTGGATGTATTGGTATGCCAAAATTTCGTAAAGATTAATTATCAATTTTAGATATAGTCAGTGTATAATTAAGCAATAACACGTGATACATGATATCGTACTTCGTATGTGGAGATACGATTTTACAAAGCCAACAAAAATAGTTATAACAGTACATTATTTGAAATTTAAATATTAAGACCATGAATTTGCTACTATTGAAGCTATGGCTTCAATACTAATAAAAACAATACGCATTAACGAAACAACCAGGATAGATAAACTTTAACGAAGTCAATAGAAATGAATGGATAATATTGCTGCTAGCTGTAAAAATTGCAATAATATGAGTAAATTTTAATTCTTGGATCTTCTACTGTACTGTATAAATTAAAATACGAACGTTGTAAGTGATTTCGTATTTACCTCGAGTACAGCAACCTTTAGTTAAAATTCGAGGGGTTTTAGTTTATGATCCGTCCGTTCATGAGTTTCTTCTTTAAAATTTCTTCTACTTTTCATAGGTGTGAGTTCCTCGCCTACTTTTGCGCTCTGTGTAGAAATTAAACAATTAGTATCGTTACTAGTTTAGAAGTAATGTCCTGATAATTTTCGGTATGGTTCCTCTTACGAATTTTAATTCAACTACAGTCTATTTAGCAATAGCAATGTGATTATTATTTATAAATATTAATAAATTCAAGTAAGCATTACTTTAGGCTTTGGTAGATTGTTTCTCCTGCACCATTCAATAAAACATCTATGGTTTATTGAAATAATTAGACAATATGATTGATTAATACTAAGACAATAAGCATGCTTGTGATAAGCTACAGTATTAGGAGCAAAGTAACGGAGATCTTCAGCTAACTTTTAATCTTTTAATACGGTAGCAGATACCAGACACTAAAATAACGATTTATTTCAAAGTATGAATTATTGTCTTACCTTTTAACATCATTAATTACTTCTTTATCCCTATTCCGGCTGGAAACCAAAATATACTGCTCGTTAAAGGATTCAGGTAGCATCCTACTGACCTGTTTAACAAAATTTAGTAGTTTTATTTAAATTAGAAGCTTGAATCATAAAAGTTACCGTGAAGTCATCACATCATGATAAATTATTCCTGTAGGTTACAAAGGGTATACTGTCTCCGTCTTCAAATTTTTAAATTTCTGCTTTTTATTTCGTACCTCCCCTTTCTTGAAAGCTATTGCTCTATTTTCGTCATACTTGTAGTAGAAGCGTATGTGTTCGATAGGATTCTCATCTTTCATTCCATAATTAAGGTTAACTTTCTGTTGGTAAATAGATATTACTCAGTATCGATGTTAATATTAATACGTTACAATGAAACTCATAAAAGTACCTCCTACGTCTGTAACTTACACGAACGTGAACATCTCTACTGGTTACATGACAATAATCTCCCAGGTCTTTACTGCATGCAGCAATCTCATTTTGAATCTGATCTTCGGTCTACGAAAAGTAGTATTCATACACAATTAAATGTATTGCTTAAAGTTTGGTATGTTATTTCAATTACTGTAGTCAGGTTTTAATAAACACAATCAACCTTGTTTAACTCGGCTACCGAGAACGGGGCCGTGCGTCCAACACATTTGTACAGCTGGCGTTTTTCTACGGCTTGAAGAATCTTACGAGCCTAATTATAAGATAAAAGTATCTTATGCTTGTTTCTATGAAGGTAACAGTAAAAACGTGAGAATAACAGTATCTTACGTCATCTAACTTTGGGTCAGTCGACAGCTTAATTTGCTGGATTACATAATCAGTAACATTAGTATATGCTACCATGTCATTTATAGTCTCAGACAGTTTTAGCATCCTAGTAGAATCAATAAATTATTTATGTTATTTATATTTAATTAAGTACCGAAGCAACAAAAAATTAGGATAAATGATTAGTAAGTTAGCCAGCTAATACTGAAGAGACCTTCCGTTGGCTCCTGGAAATTTTAAATGATCATTTGCTATTAAGAGTGCTTCGACAATCCTAGTGGTAATATTTAATTAACTATTGCAATCCAATAAACAATTTCTAAATATGGAAAGAATGGCTCACATGGACTCTATTAATTTTACGGTTTTGTGCTGGTAAGCACGTTTGTGAAGCATATGACGTGTGTAAAACATATCGTACGTATTGTCAACCTCCTATTACATCATAAAGAAAGTAAAAGCTTTATGTTAGTTTTAGCATATTTTGTAACTCTGTATAAAAGAGGTTTAAAATTTACCTTATCTCTGGTACAAAGTTGCCATTCATCGTTAACCTTTATTGCTCGCACAAAATGCATAGAACGCCTAAGGTTTGAATCAGAAATGTAAAGAAGATATTAATATCAGGTAATAGAACCAATACAGGTAAAGGATTTTCTGATTTATCACTGTTCGATAATATTGCTTTCATGTACCGGTGATCAAAGGAAATCGATACGCCAAGATTGTGTGAATCTCGTGCAAAGTAATCCCACTTATCGACATCAATTCCGTTACGTTTGTTCGCTACTATCTAATGAATAAAAAATTTGCTAATATTTCGCCTTGATATCTATGTACTATAACAGGCTTAGAACATGAGCTCAGCCTTATGATATAGAAATTTATTAATTGCTAACTAAAGAGAATTTCGAAAATTTACTTCGTAGAGAAATCTCTTTTCTGGACCCCGACCCTATAAAAAATATATTGTGGTAGTTAGGGTACACTTACGGACATTATCATTTCAGATTCGTAGCTGTAATAATGCTTTAACAGTGATCTATTCTTAATAAACAGTAACTCTTGATATTATTACTCGTAATTTGGCATCCTGGTTAATTGGTCCAAAAATCTGCTCCTTTACAAATAAAATATCTTCATCACATAAATCGTATTTTTTAAACTCTGGTTCTAATTCATTCGTTTTTATCATATGTTCGAACATAGCCACAGATCCAGCTTCATGCTGTAAGTCAAAATTTTATATCATGAAAGAAAGGTATATTAATACTTTTCGCTTCATTGTATCAGTATTAAATAATAAAGTAATACGAATCCGTTTTTCGACATATAACAAAATTTAATTGTTTCAAAAAAGTGCGGCGGCTAAGATTTGTCACCTTCCAGTTTTTCTTAGAGACATCTTTTGGAACTCTTGGTAAGAATTCGTTATCGAAAACATGACTGAGAATACCATGTCCTACGAAAGGTATGCATAATTGTTGGATATTAAAGGAGAGCTATTAAGAATAAAATTGGGAGCAATAATAAAGAGGCTATCATATGGCTCAACTGTTTAATTCCTGAGATTACTGTACTCGTATATCATTTTCCCCTTGCAGGTTTTTATTTACAAAGTGAGCTATATACGAGCGTATGTAACTGTCAACTAGATCTAGTTGTCACGATAAACTATCTGTTAGCTATATTGGACTAAAATTAGTAACACTTGTGACCAATTATATTATTCAACAAGCAAGAAGTAAAATACTAACCTAGATCATGGCAAAGTCCCGCTAGACTGACGCATAAAACATCAACATCTGTGATGCGTAGTTCAGGCTGTCGAGATTGTATACTCTTAACTAATTTCCATGCCAAATAACCAACCCTATTGACCAATATAGACAAAGAAGGATTGGAATGTAATTGTGTAATTATAGTTGTCGTATCATTAAAATCTCCTTATGGTTAAGGTAATGAGGATTTAAATAACAAATTTGTATGTCTTTATTCAGAAATTGAGTAATTCAGTTTGAATCTAGACTTAGAATTATAGTATGACACTATTTGATAAAACTATCGCTGCTACAGTACCAGTTTCAATTTATTTACTTCTTAGGTGCGACAGTATGCTTATGCTGCATCAATAGAACAAATTAAAGGGGATAACTAGAGCAAGATTAAGTTTGATTTATAGTGATAGTAAAACGTAGATTAGCACTTTTAAAACAATCGTTACTTCTTTTACAGCTTACCCTATCGAATGTTCAAATCGTGTATGTGCAGCTCCAGGAAATACGTAAAATGTGCAACCTGTAGAGTATGAAATATTTGAATATGTTTACTATAGACTTTATATTAAGATTATGTATATATTCAGTAGCATGACTTAGGAGTACGTATTTCTCGTGATACTTGGGAAGTCACTAATGTATTCTCTTTTTGGATGTAAGCAATCATGTATTATCTATCGATATGATAATTGCATTCGCTTACAGGCAGAGTAAAATACTACCTCTAATTAACGTATATTCTTCTTTAAGATCGTAAAAGTATCCATATTACGTGTTATACTAACTGTGATTAAGGTAGGCCACTGATGTATATATAATAGGGGTATTTCGCAGTCATTGTTATTAAATAAATCACGAAATGTAAAATTTTTTAGTTTTTAATAGCCGCTAATCTACTATATCTTGTAACATTAAAAAGGTATCTTTATTACTTATAAGTACTTCTGTCTATTTAGACGATGATAAATGTAAGACAGTTTGCGAAGCTATCATTGCAATCTATGCAGACTTGTGAAAATTATAGTGGCACTTATAAAGTATATTACAAGAAAATATAAATTTACTCGTACTAATTGATAATAAACTTACCAAGTTGTTTGATATAGCGCAATCGCTGAAACTGTGGTGTATCGATGATTTTAACACATAATGGATGCATTTCGATATGGCCATGAATTGGATCGTTGAAAATCTAAGAATTAGTTTTACAATTAGTACTAGTATGCTGACCTGAGGAATACCTTGCACTAGACAAAGTTTAGTAATGTTAGAGCAAGTAAGCACGTATTGGTGTTGCAACTTTGCTATGGCTACTACAGGATATAAAAATTTGTTTGAATATTGTTGAATAATGATCTGTAATAAACTTCAGCACTGTAAATCAGACGATAGTTTTAATTTTGATAATTTATTAACACAGATTACTTTGAAAATTACATATGACCACTGATTGTAAGATTGGCTGCTATGGCCCTACCGCAGTGAGGTTTGTGCTGGAGTGCTGTTAATAAATTAGGGCTATAACAAGTTATTTTTTATATAATCAACTAATTGTTGTAAAGCATAAGTTGAGACGGGATAGTGAGCGATTAAAGAAGACTAATTTTGTATAGTCATAGTCTTACATAGAAGTAAATCTTACTACGATGAAGGATTAGATGTATCAAGTAGTTATGCACATTTTGGTTATTGTTTATTATTAATTAATTATAATTATCAATGAATACGAAATGATATGATATTAATTAATACGGTACCACTTGTTAAACAGAAACATTCCATTACCTTTTAAGATACTACTAACGTACTTTGATATTGGATTATATTAATTTTTGATACATATTCTCAACATCAGGAGGTTGTTGAGTTGAATGACAGTATATGATAGAAAAATTACTTTCAGTGTAGAGTTTACGGATATTACTATGAATATGTACAGTATTATTATTATTGTATATAATGACAGCGATCCAGGAATCGTTGCCTCTCAAAATATAAATAAGCTATCAAATTACACCAAGAGATGAGTAACATACTTGTATGATTAGTCTGAAAATAAATACTATTCTACGTCCACAATAAATTAAGGGGATAAAATTGTGGTTATACAAAGCAGAAATTTTCCTCTTGGTTTATGGCATTCATACTCCCAAGGCTACGCTTAATTTTAATACTAACGACATCACTCTGGGCCTTGAATGTAATGACATGTGTTCCAGACATTTTTTGAAGCCATAATTTAATAATAGGAGTGAAAGCCTATGCGGTAACCTATTACTTACTCCTTTCGCTGCGGAATTAATTTAATTTAATTCATTTGCTAACATTCACCAGACGTATACTTTGAGAATTTTCCCCCTTGATTTTGTTTTAAATCTGCTTATACTGTACAATATTTTAATTTCAAGGAATAACTAGTAAAAGTCGAAGACTTCTTTCTATTGTGGCCCATGTGCAAGGTTATCATAATTAAATAGAGCCAAAACAGAGACAGTAAAGTTAGGCTCTTCTCTCTCAACACTATTTAGTTGCTAGTTTGTGTGCATTGGTCCTGGGCTTGGGGTCTGCGCACTTTACACCGATCATTATTGATCAATAATTTGGGGTGCAATTAATGCTAGCCAACTGTAAATGGCATATTTGGATTGATGGGATTATACATACTGTATAAATAGCTTATAGTAACAAGGTGTCCATTTTAGCTTGGTAATTCTGTACAAAAGGGTTTCTACCGTACAGTATTTTACTATCTCTAATGTGAATTAGTAACACCGGGCTTTGGCATTTTACTATTCATATTTTTTATTTTAAAATTAAATATATAGATGGCCATTTGGGAAAGTAAATATTGAGACGTGATTGCGTAAGTTAAGCACCCGTGGCCAAGTACTTTACGTAGAAGCACCTTCTGACTACTCAAGTTAATCCTTTGAGCTACAGTATTATTACTAGTGAAATCGTCGCTTGTGATACTTCGCGTGCTGTACTTGTACCTTTTACTTTAGAGTGCTACATAGGCAGTGGCTATATTAAATTAGACTTGAACGGCAGGTTTACTAGTAATAAATAATAATTCATGCATTGCGCTAGGTTAAAGATTCCATCAAGGTAGAAAGTAAGTACAGTAGGTGAAATCGTATAGCCAATCTCTGTTGTCATTGGTCGTACTATTGATAGCTTACTGCTGCACTCTTGGAAAGGTAGCTTGAATTATAAACTCTACTAAAAGTAAACATAGCACAACTACCATAAATTTTAAAGATGAAAACTGCCATTAATCTGAATTTAAGTTAGGTCAACTCGACAATACCTTAACTTGAGGTGGTGCTCTACTTTGTGTCATTAAAGACTGCTGGCTGAGATCATCATCTGCTTCAGTCTCACTACCTTCGTCATTTCCGGATGAAGGATTTTCTAATTTCTTACGCTTTGCTAGCTCAATCAATTCTGCTTGTGATAACCTCTTTTGCGACATTATTCGATATCAATCCACTTGCTCGTTTAATTCGATTAAAAAGACAGTGTTGTAATTTGCGTTAAGAGCTCACTTAGGCCAGAGTAGTTACCAAGATGCAACAACTTGGATTTGATTGTAAATGTTGATTGACAACGAGTTCGATCCTTAGCACAACCTGTACTAACTTGAATAACTTTGAAAGCTAGCGTCTAGAAAGTGTATCCGCTGTTTAACTGTGGCCAGTAGAATCTTCTTTCAACGCCACTCTTGCAATCTTGTAGTTTATTTCAAGCTAAATACTTCAAGGCGAGCTATCAAGTGCATCGGAGAATTTCTGTGGCTTGATTAGACTATGGCACGCCGCTGCAGCTGTGAACAGCCTCGAAAATGATAGCATTCTATACAGGCTTGTTGTATGGCAGTAAAGTGTAGGAAATAATAGCCAACGTTATAGGATACAGTATGTAACCAGAGCATGCTTTAGTCATGCATATAGCAAGCCATTCCTGTGTCGTCATTACCCCAATTACTGAATAGTGAGCTGGAGACCATTCAAAAAAAAAATTCAGCATACTCTCTCTTGTCCTTCTCTTACCTGTCTTGAGGTGTAAACTAGAGATTTTAGATCAGGGACTACTAAAAGAGGTACCTTCTATGTTAATAGTTGCTGTCCTGGGTGTCTTACCAGATAGATACCAAGTTGCAAAGAGTAAAAGTTACTTTAGAGGTTACGTAAAATAAATTCAGCATACCCCTATTTTCTTTCTCACACCTGTCTTGAAAGGTAAGCCAGAGATTTTGCATCTGGGATTACTGAAGTTATAATAGTTCCTATCGTGAGTGTCTTACCAAATAGACGCCAAATTGCAAGTAGTAAGAGTTATTTTAGAGATGATATCTAGAATTTATTAGCGTTTGTGACGTATGAGCAGCCAATGAATCATCGAAAGTCACCATTGCTATAACTGATCCAGCTATTTTGTGCAATACGGTCCGAATTTGCCCTTGCTCTGAGAGGTGAAAGGAATAAGGAGGAAAAAGAATCGATACATACAGAATGGCAAGAGGGTGGACACAGCCGTAACGGATTGATATCACGATGCTCGTATACTGTACTTGGAAATCGTTCCCATAAATCTTGTACATCAATATGCATTTCCGATTGCATTTTTGATCGAGTTCATGTAACGCAGGAAATGGCTTTGGTGAGCTTAAAAACTGTCTCAGTGAATCTTAAATGTCAATATGCATTTCCTGTCACATTTGTGCAATACTCTCTATCAAAATGTCAATATTTAGTGCATTTACAGTAACAGTCTACCGATGCAGTGCATAATCAATGCAAATTACTGAGCTACTGTACTATGCAGAATGCCATTGAAGTGAAACTAGGTATTTCAATCAAGCATATTAAACTGCTACGGTATACTGAAAAAAAACAAAAACTCTATTTCTATGGTATTTAGGTATTCATAACTAATAACTAGTAAATTGTATAACATATAAAGTAGTAGCACACTGATTATATTAGTATTCTCTCCATAAAGAATATCTATTAATGAATACCAAATTATTACATACGCTTATCTTAGCGATGTTTCCCCTAAATCCCGTACAACCATCAAAATACGACAGCGACGTAGTATGCAGTAACATGCACAATGGATAATAATAAGATTACATTTTATTCGCGCACATATTAACTGGCTGGTGAATATAATTCTCATTTGATCATCCTCAATCGTGATGAGCTGTCAAAGATGGCAGACGCGGAATTCACTTGCACATTCCTTGAAGATTGCTCAAATTCATATAATAATAAAAAGTTCCAAGATGTACGCGTAACAATAACATGAAAGCTATTGTTCAATTATGCATTGGTTATTATATAAATTAGCAGTAAATGTAAGATTTCTAATAAATACACAAGTATAGTTACAGGATCTTATTCAACATTAAATACGTGCATAAATTTAACACGACTGAAATAGTCTAAAAATACTAACAATTGGAAACATTATCAAAGCTCCAATACAAGATCCAACTTGCTGTGATACGCCACACCAAAATAAAGCCCGTCGGCCTTGTAATCGTAATAGATATATAATGGCAACTTTAACATAAGTCACCAAAACGCCAAAACCAACATTTATTATAACCTACATTATTAGATAAAATACGCGTTGTTAGCATCATGAGAGAGTTTAATTTACTTGGACATTGTGTGTGTCTAATTATTATTGTAATAGCGTAATACAAATAAACTGGACTAATTACGACACCAGGTTTTGATGAATGAAGCTTAATATAACGAATTGATAATTCAAATTTTACTTCATTTAAATGTGGCAATTTTCGTCAAGAAAGGGCATTCTAGCAGTAACTATGGGTAAAACTCCCCATTTCACAGAACAAGCATATCTACAGATATTCTGTATGCTTACCGTCAAGGCAGATCCACCGCTTGTGCCAAGTAAGGGAGGCGATGGGCTCATAGCTGCAAAAACGATAATCACGATGCCGCAAACCGTAGAAAGTAGGGTTAATATTGCAATTACGACACGATTATAACAGGGCAGCCAGAAGTAGGCAAATGAAGTTAAAGGATTAGCAATAGAGTATAAAGTGACAGTTAGATGAAATGCAGTACCACCATAAGGTAAAGTAGCGTACGACTGAATGGACGGGATGACTCCATTACTTAATCCGTTGACCCACGCTTGCATAAATAATAAAGCCATAAATACTTTGAACGGAAGAGGGTCTTTTTTTTTCTCCTAAAAGATAAAATATTGTCATTTTAGTGTCATGGAACTATACCTGGATATCCACTCTCTATAATGTTGTACTTGTTACGTACGATGTGACACAGCTACAATGTCGTACATAAATTGGATTTCGAATACTCACCATATCCGAAGCAGCTTCATCACGACAACCCGATTTATTATTGCAAGCTAATTCACTACCGTCTATTTTATTATCTTCAGTTTTTTCATACGTATTAGGAATGACGTAGTGCTTCTTCGCTAAAGGAAGATAATTCATAGCGATAAAAGCCAAAGCAGATGCAATAGTTAATCCAAATAAAATAAACCAAAATGTTTCTGGTGTGAAACTAACGGAACGAAGTGTTTGTTCGCATAAGGTTAAATTCTGAGGCGGGGTTGCTTGAGTGGCTATCAGAGTGAAGGAAGTAAATAGAATAAAATATTAAATTTACAGTTAATAGAGGAAAAGTTCAGGATTATATATAGCATGATTTCTATGGTGTACTGTTGCTAAAGAGTGGATATAATAATAATTACTAGCACACTCTTCACTCATAATACTCGCGTTATTAGGAGATAATCAATATTCATTCTTGACGCATAGAGTATACCATCAGTAGATTACAGTACACTGAGTATAGTAAATAGAGAAGTTCTATCAGTGTCATTATTTCAGTATTAAACCTTCTCCTAAAATACGGTTTTAATTACAGCTGCAAGGTACATATAACACTATAATTACAATTAATATACGTATCTAGTATATGTGGGTTTCTAGTAGTCCATGTCTCGTGATCGTGTTTTGTATGTAGATAGACTTAATAAGTTCACAAAGAATGCTTAGTATTGTTGACTAGGCGGTCATGTTGGCAATATCGAATATCAATATCGCCCATTCATTCATTAGTTTACGGATTTCAATCTCATCAACATAGTAATATATCCTGCATGTGCGTAGCCTTTAAAAGTTCAGTGTTGCCGACGCGGCGGTTATCATGGCAATATCTAATATTAATGCTGTTTATCCATTTATTAAATTAATAGATTCAAATAAGACTTATAACTTGGGCAACAACGTCGTATATTCAATATATAATTATAATACATTAATTAACAAAAGCTTGTCGGCGATATCATAAACATGGGCACTTTTTTGGGCAATGGGTAGAGACGAGGACTTTGATCAAGCAGTGTATGTAAATACTCGTACTTTGCTATATTATCGTTAACAATCTTTCCAATCATGCTGATTGTATAAACATATTGCCGTAAATTTAGAAGCAATCATGCAGGATGATAGTCAATTATATTATAGATTGCTAATTCAATAAGGTTGAAGCGTGCGTAAACTTAATGTCGCTAGTATTTTACAAAATCATTCCCATATATAAATTACTATTAGACATGATTCGTTATGCATATGTAGAAATTATTGCAAGGAATAATAAACAGTAGTATGGAATAAAAAAGTAAATAAATAGCTTATAATAACATAATGCGCAATAGAAGCGGATGGTCTTAACAACTTGAGCGTAATTTTTTAACCGTATATTCGATTTGATTGAAACTCACTGAAGGAGTCTTTGATCATATTGTAATTTTATCTTTCACTCTACTGTACACACAGTGCACATTAATAAAGTACTAGTCAAGCCCTTCCTCGTGATCCTTCACGTACTGCTAAGTTGTACCTTTTACTTGACAATAATTAAATATATATTCTAATTAACAAACCGAACAAAACAAAGTATGCTCGGTATGTCAATCAATACGCTATTGCGCTTGCAACTGTGGTACTGTAGCTAGTCATCAGGTGTTTAATGGACATAAATCTTCCATTTAAGTACAACCTTTGATGTTTCTTTTAATGAATCCGCGTGGCGTCAATGTTCTTAGTCATCTGGTGTTCAATGACTAATTGAATCTACCCAATTTGATCTCTGTGAAAAATTGTGTCTACTACCCTTTGATGTTATTTCATGAATCCGCGTAGAGTCTGTTTCTTATGGCATGATATCGCAATTCTACCGTATGTATACGTCCATACAGCGTATAATGTGCAGAGAAAATGAATTGTGCATCTGCCCAGCAGGAGGAATTTAAACAGACGCTATTCCTACGTCGCGTTGTTGAAGTTTTTGTCGCGTGCTTTATAGCATTGCCGAACGTGTCGATAGGTAAGCATTAAGTTAAGTAGTACCGTAGCGAGCATGGATTACTACCACAGTGTGAGTACGTTCTATAGTCGGGGATGGACAATTTACAACAAGGATGTTCATCAAAAAACTTGTAAATTTCATCAATACTTTATGATGGGAGTAAATATAGACACTACAAGTAACCGCATTCAGTTACGGTCCATTTTTATATGGAAAATGTTACTATTTGCGTTGCAATCGCATCGATCCAAGCTTTGCATTAATGTGGTTGTACGGCATTTATCAGGATAGAATGGAGTACGAGGGGCCCGTGGGGCTTGAAAATAGTGAACAATTAATCGTTAGTGACGCATATAAAAAGACTATTCATTAATCGGCAAAACTGCCTCACTACAGTACTCCTGTCATTGTAAGCTAGGATGTTCAATATGAAGATCTATCTTCCATCGATCAACAGAGGTGAAACATAGTTTGATTTACGTCGTACTTGACCTAAGACAATACCGCACAGGATATGGAATTTTTAATTTTCAAACACAAGACTGAAGGATAAAATATCCAGTACATCATGACTAACCTGCTGTAGTTATTGAGGGGCCAGTAGTGGGATGCATAGTTGTTGCAACGGTAGCGACAGAAATATTTTGATTAAAACAACCAGCCCCATTTCTAGCTCCCTGACCAAGTGCAACTAACCCAGGCAATAAACCACTAAGTCCTTCACCAACTAAGTAAGCAGGCATGTATACTTCGCGAAAAGTGGCCATAAATGGTAAATATGTCACCGATGAAGTGCAATCAGTCATGGCCAGGGTAAAACCAAGGATTAACAGTCCAATACTATGTGGTTCACCACCAACTATTGCAATTGAACGCCAAAAAAAAGCTAGTAATAGACAAGAAGCAGTTCCAGTCACTAATACTACATAGATTGCTGGCACTTCTTTCACTACGTTAGGTTTCCAATGCTTTAACAGAGAATACGTTAAAGGAGCTAGATTAGCGATTTGGATGATGACTGTTATGTAGGAGGCCAAGTTCCAACTTTCCGGTAAACAATTGACCATGATTGGCAATTCTACCCAAATACTGTTGGTTGCAACCCACGAACCGATGCCAAAGCATACTGCTAAAAAACAAACTGTCCATGATGTATTTTTCTCCAAAAGTGTGACAGAAACCATTTTGGGGATAGATCCACTTGTATCGATTACTTTACGATAACTTTTGCATTAATTGGTGTTAACTTGGTGAATGGATTTTCAATCTATTCCACCGAATCGATGGAATCGGCGGAGTTACTCAATCGTACTAGCAAGATGATGATGAAACGGCACGGTACGTAGTTACGTACTACGTCCAGGTCAACCAAAGACGCCTTTTACTTTACTACCAACAAGGCATGCGCATACTCCTCACCCACTAAAAACAGTCACGAGATTCGTCATTTGAGTCATTGATTACTCAATCGTACTAGCAAGATGATGAAACGGCACGGTACGTAGCACGTAGTGACGGTCCAGGTCAACCAAAGACGCCTTTTACTTTACTTTACTACCAACAAGGCATGCGCATACTCCTCAAACACTAGCAGTCACGAGATTCGTCTTTTGAGTCATTTATTACAAGTTCTTTTCATGAAGCCTCCGGATGCTGTCAGCAAAAAATTGGATCTGGACATAGTACTGTACAGTGTACAGTACAGTACAGTACTGTCAATCTAGCAAAGGGTTATCGCAAGTTCGCAATAGGGGAAAGGTCATTCAAGTTGAAATATTGCGTGATAACAGCCGTAAATTACTAATAGTAAGAGTTTCATAGGAAAACAATAATAATTACTATTAAGTATAAACTATGGCTAGTGACCTTTTTAAAGTAGGGTGATTAGCGTTCAATACGCCACTGTTCGATCAAATTTTATGCCAGTCATCATACTATACTGTACACTGTACTGTACAATACAGTACAGTGGAGGTCTCTACTGTACTGTACAGTGTACTGTACAGTACAGTACAGTAGAGACCTCCACTGTATTGTAGCACAGTCACGTGACTCACTCATACAGACAGCACATACTGTACTTTGTACAGCAGGGACAACTACAGAAACTGTACCGTGCAACTGAGTGCACGCTTAACTCTAGATGACAGCATTACACTGAGTACAGTATAAGCTTTAGTATCCGTATGTGACGTGTGCAGCTCGGTGAAGGTACGAGTGAACACCGATTTCGTGCAGGAACGCCATTTCTTCTTGGAGAAAGAAGGAGAAATGGCGATTTTTTAGAAAAAAGAATCTGTGCTTCTGCGCAGGAAAACGTTTAAGGGGTACGTACGTGCTGTACTGTAGTCCTTGCAGGCAGGAATATCCTATTTTTGCCCCAGCACGATTGTCAGCTCCCTTTATTAGCCTTTAGGCATTATGTAACTAATATTTTGTAGCATGAGTAACGTCAATTTTGATATACTGTACTGTACACTGTACAGTACTGTTATTACTATGCTATTGTAATGTGTACTGTACAGTACATACAATGTTCAACTCTGGAAACAGACAAGACAGACAGAAGCTTTCCCCCAATAGCTACTCCCTCTCTTTTTCTAATACCACAGACCACAGTACCTCACAGTACTGTACAGTACTGTACAGTACTGTGGTCTGGGGTATTAGAAAAAGAGTACAGTACATGTACAGTACAGTACAGTAGAACAATTCTCGCAATACTGTACTGTACTGTACAGTACAGTACTGTACAGTACTACAGTACATACCATGTTCAACTCTGGAAACAGACAAGACAGACAGAAGCTTTCCCCCAATAGCCACTCCCTCTCTTTTTCTAATACCACAGTAGTGGCCCACAGTACATGTAGAACAATTCTCGCAATACTGTACTGTACAGTACAGTACTGTACTGTTGCAACCGGCAGCCCGCAACGATCGAGTGGTTGGACAAGGACCTCTTCCGCTCCATTTACTACTGTTAGAATTAGTGATCATAACTTCATAACAAAAATTTTGCAATACAGGACCAAATGGCTACGCTACCTCAAACGAATAAATTAACGCCTAGCCAGCTATCAACCATCTCACCGAAAATTCGAGATTGGTGCTCGTGCCACGGCTTGTTAATGAAATCCAAGCGAAATGATCCTCATGATTATTCATTTCATCATTTGCCAGTGACATTGTTACCTACTCCAATTCCAAAGATATTATTTGATCAAGCTATGCAAGTTCAGATGGATTTCAATACAGTTTTCGATATCATCACAAGAAAGACAAGTTTCTTATCTGAAAATTTGAAGCGGTAAAGTAGCACTAGCCATCATCGACTGGATGGCAGATCGATGCCATATGTATGATAGTAGTTACTAGTCACGCTCAATGGTAGAATTCATTTTATCATACACTATCGAGATGCTACTAGTTCATTGCTACTTAGACGAAGAGAGCATAGAGTACCTACTCGCCTACGCGTACTCTACTGTATTCTCTTGTAGGAGATCTGTACATACTAGCAATCGCAGCTTATAAATATTACTTAAATTGAATACTGTATTATGATCATACTGCAATTATTAAAATAAATTACTTTTCCATGCAATATCGATTCGGTATAAAATGCAAGACGCTTATTTTTATCCTATTATCAAAACATCAATGATGATCAAACTACGTACCTTGAAATAATTAATAATTAATGATATAATTGAACGATAATTTATGTGCCTTTAGATCGTTACAGGACGATGAATACGCTTCAAAATTAATGTATGTCTACAATCAAGTCCTGAAAGAAGGAATTGCTCAAGTCAGTTAGGATATAGTTAAGAAGAGCTTCAATAAGTTGTTGCGATAAAAGTGAATCAATATGAACTGTACTTTTATTACTTAATCAAACGATGTGTCTTCGAGCTAGATATGGTTCTATGATATGATGAGCGAAAACAACCTAGTCGTATAATTAATTAGTTATTTATACTCTTAGCCAATCAATTTTATGCTCACCCGATCAGACTACATGCTGGATCAAAGCAACAGTAATAACCAGTTAAGCTTAAAACAAGTTGAATTTAATACTGTTTCCGTTGGTTTCATTGGAAGTTCTTCTGTCGTACCGTCACTCCATCGGTTAGTAGTAGTACAGTACATCGAGCAACTGACTTTCATGATAATAACTAAGTACAAATTGACGTTTATATTGAGGTTATTACCTGATCACCTAGTGATACGATATATGCTCAACATTCTATTAAACTGCACTAAATATTAACCTTTCAGATACGTTATACGGGAATTGGGTTTGACTGACGATTACAATTTAGAACGGGTACTACACATAATTATGAAATTGATAAATTTAGGAAAATACCTATAGCATTCTGCCTTTTAAGTAGACTTTAATATCTAAGTAGTTAAATGAAATTTTCTAGATTGCTACTAATAACTGTTTAGAGCCATTTGCTAAGGGAGTGCATCTAGCTTGGAAAATGTATGAAAATGATAAGTAAGTTAGTAAAGAGAGATCAAGGATTACAAGATATTCTCGTTGTAGATATTGTGTACTCTTTGTAATGTTAAAAATATTAACAACATTATGAATTACTTACTTATCATACTAATATCCTAGGGCTATTATTTTGTTTGTGGTTCTACCTGATGAAAATAATATTTGTGATCAACGGCTGTTTGAATATGCAATCATGAAATTGTAAGTCTGTTGCCATGCTGCATCTCACTTCATTTCTAACATGCTCGTACATTGTAAAAGAGTAATATTAAATGACATCAATTGAGTTAGCATCCGATTACATTTTCTTCAGAGATCCTTCAATTAATGTTGTTCGTTGTACAATGGCTGATATTGAAGAAAACGCTACATTAGGAGATGATAAGACCTTATACTAGTAAGTTGATTCGTATGTATTTCACATTTATAGGATTCTAGAACAATGTCATTTCAGTATTACGTTTCAGGAAGTTTATTTACAATTATAACTATGTTATGTTAAAATATAGCAAGAAACAAGAAGTTGCATTGGTCTACTACCGTTCCGCTTACGCACCATATTGCTACCCTAGCCAAAAGGTATACCTTGCCAATTTATAGAAAAATGTCAATTTGATCAATTAATGTTATAGATGTTCTATTAATTTGCAGGAATGGGACGCTCTATTGTTAGCCGAGAGATCACGTAGTATCAAAGTTCCAAATATTGCAAGTCATTTAGCCGGAGTTAAAAAGATACAGCAAGTACTATCTACACCAGGTGTTTTAGAATCGTGAGTTAAAATATCTGATATATAGTAAATTTAATTAGTACGCATACTGTACCAATAAATAGACGTTATGTCGGAAATGTTAAAAACAAATTATACAATTATATACTTCAGATTGTTACCAGATAAGAGTTCCGTAGAAAGGATAAGAGCGACGTTTACCGGCTTATACTCACTAGAGGTAATACTACAGTCTCGATTAACTAATGGTTATGATAATGTAGTTAAGTAGAAGAAGATTATATGCATATCATGTAGCATTTCATGCCTTAGCTTTTTAAGATATGATAACGATATAATAGAATTACACTATTCTAATACAGTTGTACGGAACTGTCTTGCTAATAGAAATAGACTAAACGGAAAATATCTACGTAGCTTGTATTATGATAGCCTTTATTAATTTAACATGAGGTAACTTGAAGGTATTTTTAGTTTCTGTCTTAAAAATTTTAATTTCATGTAAAATATCTTCAGGGTGACCAAGGTAAAGAGTCAATAGCCATGGCCATTAAAAATCCGGAAAATTTTGTTTTAAAACCCCCACGTGAGGGTGGAGGTAAGTATTATTCCTGTACGTATGCTCCACGAAAATTGATAGTGAGTTAAGAAAGTTTGCTAGTAACTGTACTATGTTACGTTGTTGATATATTAAGAAAATAACGACATAATATAGACCTGATCTCTTCTGATAGGGAATAACCTGTTCGGGGAAGAAATACGGACTTTTCTAAGTTCATCATCAAATGACGATGAAAAGTCAGCTTACATTCTCATGGATAGAATATTTCCTCCAGCAGTTGATAATTGTATCATCACTACAAATAATTCAATTCAGGGTACTGAAAAAGTTATCAGTGAATTAGGAATATATGGAGTTCTCATCAGGTAATATGTTACCGAAGTGTACATTAATAGTGTGCCATAAATATGTCCATAATAAATAGCTATTTAAATTGTCATAGGAAAAATAGGATAGCGTTATTTTTAATCCGATAGCGAGTGCAAGACACTACTACTTAAAATATCTTGAAAGCAAGATTGTTTCTTACACTTATCGATTTATAACTTTTTATCTAAATCATAATTATTGTTTAACCGTTTTAGCCGTGGACCGAATGAAGTAATTAGTAATTGTGCTTGTGGATATCTATTACGAACTAAAAGTATTAGCCAAAATGAAGGTGGAGTGGGAATTGGAGCGGCAGGGTTAGATTCAGTGTATTTAGTTTGAAATATGGAGAAACATTTTAAAAAATTTGTCATAGCTATGAAGTATATGTTATCATAATTTTGCGATAGAAATAAAATTAAATAATGATTATAATAATACAGTTATATTAATTGTTGTGATACATTAACGAAACGCTGCATGTATGTCTATCGGGAGAGACTAACAATTATAATGTTGAATACTTGCGTATATACAGTATATAATAGTTTAGTAGGTTAGTAAAATGATAAAATATTGCATGCAATGATTTTTTATTTCATTTACTAGTTTGAAAGTAAATATAGAATTAATATGGAAATTATACATTTAGTTTATATCGGCTGAAGTATAACCACACCTAACAATTGGTGGGTAAGAGCAGGACTACTTTTAGACCACGGTAGGAATAACGATAGTTGAGGTGTACTACAAGTCTACAACTATACTTCGACTAGGTAGTACTGACTTTTTGCAACTTTCCGTGATATTTTTCGCTTATTCGATCCAATGCTGAACAGCTGAGTATACTATAGCTCTGCACTTTGCGTGGCCGTATACTGGTTAATATCTTAAAAAGTCGTAGCCACTTATCGAACGAATCTAGTCTAGAGAGGTTAAGGGTTTGGAAGCCTATTTGAGTGGCTCGATGCCCACTGAGTCTACAGTATTTGCATTCGTAGACACTATAAATACTTCCGAAGATATACAACTGTTGGTATTTATAGTAAGTAAGCTGCACAGTATTGTATATTACGTCCAGCTAGTGTAGACACTGACAATTCAGATTTTTAGCGTCAATAAAATGTCTTAATTAACCATTAAGTTAAACGATGATGCAGCATTCTGTCAAACTATTTACATTACATGTATCTGGAAATTTCTGGGAATATTTCAAGCACCTGCTGATTCCGTTGTCCGTACAGCAGAGTCCCGTCCGGTATAGTCTGTAAGTATGACAGCTACAGTAGAATGCTGAGTCAGTATGACGAGTGCACCTGTTGCAGTAATGAATGAAATGCAATATACTGCACCGTAAATAGTAAGAAAGGAAGAATGGATAAAGATATATATGACAATACAGTGTACAGGATAGTACTGTACAGTATAAAAAAAAATCGTATAAGTAGTAACTGATATAGTAGTATACTAAGGGAAAAATAGTATATATTGTTGTGGGAGTCAATCAAAATCTCACTTTTCAAATGCCGTATTCTGGATTTTAATAAGACAAAATGGCAACGCTACCTAAAGTGGATGAGTTAACACCTGACCAGCTATCAACTATCGTACAAAAAATTCGAGATTGGTGCTCTTGCCACGGCTTGTTGATGAAAGCCATTCGAAATGATGATCGGGATCATTCATATCATCACTTGCCGGTGACGTTGTTACCTACTGTAATTCCCCAAAAATTACTAGATCAAGCTATGCAAATTCAGACGGATTTCAATACACTTTTCGATATCATTGCAAGAAATAGAAATTTTTACCAG